GGTGGGTGCATTGGTCAGCAAGTAGAGACTTAAGCTGAGCTGGCTTGATTACACCCAAACAAAGAGAAAGTGAAGTAGGGTGGGTGGGATTGCTAGAGATGATTTATTTTTATTGGTCCTCTATGTATAGGTCCTCGCAATTTCCTAAAATTTGTAAAATTTAACACTGTTTACTTGCCTTTATTTTCACAATGCTTTTTCTAGTTTAATACATTCTTAATTTTAATATTACTTTATTTAAAAATTTGCTTTTGACATCTAGCCTGGATTTGTATCATTCTGTTTTCTGCTATATTTCTCCAAGTGACAGAGAATGACTTACTCAGTGTCTGGATATTGAAAAAAACATATTAAGTTAGAGTGTAAGGACTTAAGTAGTAGGAAGAATGAGAATTTTTTCTAATTTTCTGAAGAATCAAAACAATATAGAAATATAACAGAATGCCTTCCTGAAATTGAATTCTGTATAGTACAGTTAGCACAATAGGTTTTATTTAATAATTTCTCTTCAAGTGTGTAGCTGTAAGCCAAGAATTAAATACTAAAGTAAGCACAGTTGAGAGACATCAGTGTCTTCTGAAATATTCCACTTGGATCTGTCTTAATTCACAGCCTGAATAATATTCAAATATCTCCTTATAATGACCTTGTTGACAGCAGTCAATATTGTGCCAAATGAGGTACAAGCTTCTGGTAATCCTTTATGTGTGAATGTTCTTTGATAATATAGCTAACAAATTTATTTCTTAAAAACCATGAACAAAAGAATGGCAAATATAATGTATACATTATATATTGATAGTACTTCCAAAATAATTTTATACTATTTTTTATTAATTCTTTGAGAAAGTCACACAGTATAACATGCATTTGATCATATCCATTCCATATCTCCCTCCAATTTCCACTAGACATGTCCCCATATTTCCTCTGAAAGTGATGTCACACTAATTTTTTATTGTTTATATCCCATCATGTCCAATGATTGCTACCCTATATGTGTTTGTATGAGGTTACATACTACAGGATGGTCACCCAACCAGCGGCCACATTCCCAATGGTGCAGGACCATTGCATCTTTTAAAATCAGCATTTTACAGGATTTCTCTTCATTTCAATAGCTCTAACATTCTTCCTCATCCCTCTTTGGGAATATTCTCTGAGCCTTGGAATGTTCCAATGTCCAGCACTTGTGTTCATTTCTTCTCAGCATTTTGATCGATTATGAGTCTCTGGATTAATCATTGCCCGTTGCCCAAAGGAATAACTCTAATGTTGAAAACAGTATATAATTATGGGCATCAATATATACAGTTAGAAGTCGGTTTGACAGTGTAATTGTTGATCTAAGTAACAGTAACTCCCTAGGGCTATGAGTTCTTCACCTGCTTTCCCAATTTAAACACCAAGCCTGAATTCCCTCTTGTGGAGTGTGCTTCAGATCCTATCAGAAAGGGTTACCCTTATACCACCAGTCTCTTAAGTCAGTAGTGTAGTATATAGGGGCCAAGCTCTGTGAGAAACGCTTTTCTCCTGCACTGAACTGCATTGCCGCTTCCTTCACTATGAAAGCTAGCTGTCAGGGAGGAATTCTCCTGGTCAGTGAGAATCTAATTTCATTAAAATGTCTGTGTGCTGTCAGTCTATCAACTCAACAGTATATTCCTCTATGCATATTTACTTTTAAACAAAGAACCATTTGACTTATTTATAAGCATACTTAATTTCAATGGCACTGAGAAGAACAAGATTCCCTTTAAACAAGATATCAGGAATGCTGTATACGCTGTGTCTAGGAGAAGAGGAGACAGGACAGACACCACATGGATGGTCTACATATCATTCAGTGAACAGGGTAGAGTTCACCTGCCAAGAGATAGGATGTGCGACTGCCAGACTTTCATGCTGCTGACATGAAAATGGCTAAGTGTTTTGAAGGAAAATCAGCCATTTGTTTCATGCTTAGCCCTTCTCTGATTGGTGTACTTTAGATATTAAAGGTTTACTTTCTATAATGAATAAATAAGATTCATTTTTTCTTTTATAGTTAGGACAATAAAAATTCCAAACATACACTAGAAATGCAGTTCTTTTTCTTTTTTTTACGAGTCTGCACTATTATGACAAAACAGACAAAAGAGCCAAAAACATAGCCAGGCTGATATTTGCTTAGTAACTACTGCTGGAGGCCTTTTATTCACCATTGATGTACATTTTGTACCTGTTTCTTATTTATTAACAGTTTTACTATTAACTTTATATATTTTCAATTGGAAAAAGAACCTTTGGTAAAAATTAAAATATCCTTTCTATCTGTAAATGTAGGCAGAGGCTGCTTTTCGTTCCCAGCTGCCCAGACCTGAATAATCACAGAGGAACTATACTAATTGCAACACTGCTTAGCCAATGACTCTAGTGTATTCCTAACAAGGTCTTAAATCTTGAATTAACCTACTTTTATGAATCTATGTATTGCCACTAGCCTTGTGGCTTATCAGTAAGGTTTTCTGGTGTCAATCTCCTTCAGCAACTACATGGTATCTCTCTGATTCTGCCTACTTTCTCCCTGCTCTACTGGAGACTGCTGATTCATTTCCTGGCTGCAAAAATGCAAAATAATTACACATAAACTATATTAATTTCAACACTTCTTGGCCAATAGCTTAGGCTTCTTATTAAGTAACTTTTACATCTTAAACTAACCAATTTCTATTAATCTATGTGTCGTCACAAAGCTGGTAGTTTCCTGATAAGGTCTCTGTTGTCTTTCTCATCTCTCTGACACTGCCTACTTTTTCTCAGCATTCAGTTTAGTTTACTTGCCTAGCTTTATTCTGTCCTTCCATAGGCCAAAGTAGCTGTATTCATTAACCAATAAAATCAACACATATACAGAAGGACTTTCCACACCATGTAAAACTTTTTGGCAACAAAATATATCTTTACCTAACTGTCTTAAATATTATACTGTAATTTCTAGTCTAATTTCAATGACCCATTTCTATAATACTCTATCTGAGTCTTTCCATTTGGAGTTTTTGTAGACTTCCCTAAATACATAATGAATTATATAATAATAAAGCCTATATATCCTTTTATAAGTGATCATTGTCTAGATTATTATAGGTAACAATTACCACTCTACATCTCTTAGAGAAAATGATTTATAATGTGAGTATGGCATGTGTTATTTCAATTATATATTACAGAGAGCCAGTGTGGTGTTCTTATCTCTCTCTCTTACTTTTATCAAACAGGAAGCTAGAGCGGAGAATGGCCAAACTCATTCTCTTTACATTCAAACAGATTATTTTTAATGGGGTTTAGACATATTTTACATAATAGCAGAACCAGTATGTTTTATGCATTTCCTGTATTTTTGAAAACTTTTTTGAAGATGGGCATAGTGATATAATCCTCAGCAGGGATATTTTAGGGAGAAATATTCCAATCCAAAAATGTAAACAAAATTTTCAAACAGAGAGTTGTTGCAAAGCTGATACCTCTAACTGCTGTGAGTCTTTCCCCAACCATTTCACAGATGGGTGTCTTTGTCATACTTTATGTAGTTCTATAGTCTTCATTCCTAATCCAATAACATGGCACTAATGTGGAACTTGCTTCCTGCAATTTAGGTAACTCATTACTGGTTCAATTTTTTTAGCATGTAGATAAATCACACTATACTAATACTATATAGTAACAGATAAATAGTATTTTATTTTCAGTGTCTATTTATCATATATACGCTAAGCCTACCCCCATGAAAGCTATTAATGTAAAGATTCATGTCATGTATCCTTATGCTGAAGTTACAAAACTCGACAAGACAGAGATACCATCAACCCTCATTGAATTTAGATTTTAATGAGAACAAAAAAATATCAATTAAATAATCACATGGTAAAGGAAGTGCTTATATACTTTAATAAGTGTTATGATAGACCCAAATTTAAGTATCTTGAGACTGAATATGTGAGGGACAAAGATTGTTTTAGGCTTAGTGTAAAGGCAAGGCATTCCATGGAAATTACATTCAAATTCAGGGTAAAATACAAAAGGAAATTAGTCATATGAAAAATTTGGTGAATAGAAAAAAATCTAAGATGAGATACCCCAAGATATCCTAACAAGAAACTGTGGAACACCAAAGTTATTCCACAGGGGTTTGTATGTAGTGAAAATAAGAAGGACTGGTTTTAAAAGTGCTGTTTGTATTCTTTGCTCCTTGAACTTCTGTTGGAGAGATTTAAGAATAGGAATATTATGATGTAATTTGTTTCCAATGGTTCTCCTATATCTATAGTGGCTAAAGACTTAGCAGGTTGTGGCCAATACAGAAGAACACAAAGAGAGATTGTTTGAAGCAAGTGATAGCAGCTGAGACAAGAGCTACTGATACCCACACTGGAGATCCTTCAATGATAAAACAGAAAGGGAAGGGGAGCTGAAGAGATAGAATTGGTATCTTCTTATTACAGTAGTGTTTTGTAGATTTCTATCTGCAGATGGTCACAGTTGTTTGCAATCTTATAGCATTGTCTTAGAAGTTTGCCATAATGTGGGTGGGAGTTCTGCTACCTGGAAAAATTTGAGATCATTCATTCATTGTTGATGATAATTGCTCGTCTTTAAAATCCTTACGTATTATGTAATTCTTCACTTAATAATTTAAAATGTATATGTGAGTGACTTTTAAGAGTAATAATATTAAAATTTTATATTTTTTTAATAAAAATTGCATTTTCTATCATTCATTTTTGATGTAAACATCAAAAATTTGTTCTCTGGGAAAATGGTGTCTGTATTATACTCTATGAGATTTCTCACTCAATGTTTTTTAGGACTTTGTTTTACTTACTTTCCCTAATTTCTTTTATCTGCAAATAAAGATGTGTATTTGAGTAACTTTTCTTTTTTTCTAGAATTAAACTGCAGTTGGGAAATTATTAAGAATCATATTAAACCCACACTTTATTACTTTTTGTATTTCCCAATAGAAAAAAGAGAAAGGTTCCGTCATGATACAGAACAATGCCTATGCGGTGGCTGTTGCCAACTACGCCCCAAATCTTTCCAAAGATCCTGTTCTCTCCACCATCTCTAAAAGTGCAACGACACCAGAACCCAACAAGAAGCCAGAAAACAAGCCGGCTGAAGCCAAGAAAACCTTCAACAGTGTCAGCAAAATTGACAGAATGTCTAGAATAGTTTTCCCAGTTCTGTTTGGTACATTTAACTTAGTTTATTGGGCTACCTACTTAAACAGGGAGCCTGTATTAGGGGTCAGTCCATGAGTCTAGACATCGGTTACTTTTGGGCTATAGCAACATTACACAGGATTTATTTTGCTATGTACAGTCTGACTAATAACTGCTAATTTATGTCCCAATATGTACAGTATGTATATAGTGGTAGAGCTTATCAGTAGACCTCCTAAGGGGACCTGCATTTGCTAACTCATGGAAATACAGGCAGAAAACATCCCTTGCCAAAAGAACTGTTGCCTTTTAAAAGCGATTTACCTTGGGATCTAGTTTAAAGGGGATTTCAGGTAATGCAATTTATTTTCTAATGTTCTAATTATGATAAAAGTTGAGATCCAGTGTCACCCTTTGTGAAACCTTTGAAATAGATATTACATAGGAAAAATATACTGTTACCTATTGATGATCAGAGATTAACATTGTCACCACATATGAGTTCTGACTATCTGAACATCTGCACCTCTGATCTGTTCCCTTCAGGAGTATTCAGAACCCCTGCTAGTGTAATGGAATCTTGACACACATAAGGAGAAAGCTAGAGATGCGAAAGCAGCTTTTCATTACTATGTAGAATATCTATAGCCATGTGCATATTACAAGCATGACAAACTCACGTAACTATGAATCACAATGACAGGATGTTGATTATGCTGAAATTTAATAATTAATGGAATGTCACGGCCGTTACATTTTTATCTTCAGAGTTTATTTGAACATAGTAACTGAAACCTAAAGCGCACTACAATCGTAGATAACTACCTAACATGATAAAAAAGAAGATATGTGGACTTAGTTTTTTCAGGATGTGTTGTCAGCTGATTTTTTTCTGGTGCTGGAGAGTGGGAGAAAGCAGCCATGGTGGCTGCGATGGAGCAAAGTTCCTTCATCTCAGATTAGAAAGTTGTGCCAAAAACTCCAAGCGATGAGAATTCATATGTGTCCCAGGTCCAGATGCGCACTTATATGATTCTCTGCTTTCCTGTTTACTGCAAATTCTGCCTTAAGGCTTCTTCTCACTGGGACTCAGAAGCCACTAATCATAAAGGAAAGGGCAGTTCATTGGCACATTTTTCTGTCTGGAAAGCAGCTCTTTCGGATAAGAATTAATATAAATCTGCTTTTGTAAATTGCAACTTTAAATTTCATTGACTCGAATTTACAGCAGCTTTGTATACCAGAAGAGGTTTTGGTAAGAGTTGAACATTTTTAAATCACAACTTTAAAACATCATCAACAGATTACGGATTATGTCACATCACACACACACACACACACACACACACACACACACACACCACGTAGCTAAATTAGAAAATAAAAACATGATTTTCAATTTTATATAACTACTGATTGTTAATGGGTAAAATTTATTTCTTCTTTTAGTATTTAAAGATATTATTTATGCCCTGGGAATATGCTAAAGTTAAATGTGTTTCTGTCAAAACCAAATTACCTTTGACTGATATGTACATTAGCAGTTATTAGTTGACTTTGAAAATTAAGCGCAACTTCATGATGATGTTTTTGTAGAAACCTAAGTAGTCAAATAGTGGCATTTCTTGCGATTTTGTACAGTATTTGAGTATAGTGCAAAACAGGTCTGTTCACAAAATCAATAAAAGGGGCATCTTCTGGAAATAAGCAAACTCAAAAAAATCTGCTGTTCTTTTGCTTCTTTCAAATTTTTGATTTTCTTTTCTAGTGAAGTTCTGTTACGTGGTTTGCATGATTGTATTAATACTAGGGCCACAGCTGCATCTTCGTAACGAAACTCGCTACAAAGACAGCCTTGACGATAAAAACTTCCTCAAGCAAAGTAATTCATTAACCGTAATAAAATTATTACATGAGCCAATGAATGTATTTTGTTAATTCCCTTCCAGTTACATCTTCTCTACCATCTAAATAATTTTAAAATGTGAGTATCATCCATCCAATGAAATAAAAGAAAGATACCCTCTTTTCTTAAATACCTATATGCTGAAACATCTCTTGTGGAAAACATAGGGATGGTTGTAGCTGTGTGTGACAGAACGTGTTATTTGAAGAAAAGTTGCAAGATTCTTTTTGTAGTGTGTGTTACCAGTACTTTAAGAACAATTTCGGTGGCTGTGGAGAGCTTGCAGGTTAAGAGTAAAGACTTCCCTTGCAGAAACTTGACTTCAATTCCCAGCACCCACACAGTGGCTCACAAGTGCCTGTGACTCTTGCTCCAGGAGGTCTGATACTCTATGCAAGAAGCCATGGGGACACTTAGATATATCTACACATACCCCATCCCACATAATTAAAAAATGAAAATGAAGAGTTGAAATTCCTGCCATGCCCCTTTACTCTCTGATTATAAGTTCTATATTATTATAAATATGTACATATGTAAAACTAGATCTAAATAATTTTCCGCAGGTAATCAGAAAAGATCCTTCTGCTGTGATTATGTTGGTGGCAGAACATTGCTAGTTTTTTTTTTTTTTATTGCGGATGGAATAGAAAACATCATCATTGACATCCTTTGAAATAACAGAATTGGATTTTTTTCATTTTAGTCATGAAAATCATATTTGAGTCTAATCAGAAGATATTTAACATATATTAATATTTGTTCATTTGACTCAACAAATGGCAGGTTAATTATGCTGTAATGTTTATAAAGACATAGACAGTTGTGGTGTGTGAAGAATGTACTTTTAAAGAGAGCCATAAGCACATTATACAACAGTTTCTCCAGATGTATCTTCTTTTTACTTTACTATTGTAACACTCCCTAAGTCTAGTATAAACATCACTTATATTTCTCCACAGACTCCAGTGATGATTGGATTCTTTTCCTTATAAATAGCTAAAGGCTTCTATGAACCTATGAATTAAATTATAGATAAATTACTAAGAATTTATCAACTATATACCTACTATGCTAAAATGTGGACTGTTTTTCTTTTTTCTCCTACTTTCTTTAACAAAAAATATGGAAATAAGGTAAACATACAATACCCATTGATTTTTAGATGGCAATCTGAATATTTCAAGATATTTTCAGGGATGTATTGCAAATTCTCACAAGTTTTGATGCATGAACTTTTGGACAATATTTCTAAAACATTCCCTTAAATAGTTCACATTTTGTTAAAATTAACCAAAAGTAAACATTTTCTTTGACTAATAAGTTTCATTTAGATAGAGATATATTATAATGTTTATATGGAGAGAGGTTTTTTCTCCTTATTTCACAAGTACTTATGTCAACATTTTTGGTTGAAAGATATGAATTCTAATATATAGACTATATGGAATATAGAGATTTTGGGGAAACACCAAATCTGGGTGGATTATTTCCACTGTACTTTGATGGCCTGTCATCATTACTTGAGAGAATGAGGCAGCACCTTGTCCTGCTCTGCCCAGTCATGAAGCCCCAGCAGTTACAAAGGACTTGTCCTATGTGCTTGTGTAAATTTCAGAACTCCCCCTTCACAAATCTTTGAAACAGAATCATCTGTGATGTAACTGATACTAAATGTGTGATATGTGTGATTACATTTTCAACATCCCCATGCAGTTATATAGTCTTGAAACAATTATTAGATTTACTTTCATTTGAAAAGATTCAAAATTTCAGGTGAATCTTGAGAGAAACGGTTGTTTACCCAACATACTATTTATTTTCATTTATTTTAAGTCTCATTAATTCTTTTTCCATTTCCTTTTAATGCCCTAAAGATTTCACTTGTTTAAAGTCAGTAAACTGTATTTTATTGAAACAGTTCATAACACGATCTGGTGTAATGCTTGTGTCTCACACAAGCAGAATAGATCTATTTGCAATAGCTAAGAACAATACAATAGGTACGGGGTTTGGATACTAATTTATACATAGAAACTACCCCTCCTGAAATTTAAAGTGTAAAGACTATAATAGAGTATTAGAAGGGGAAAAGTCACTTTTAGCATATGTATGTTTAGAGCCACGAATACTGTAAAAACGCCACTTACAATCATGTGGACCAGACAAATTACTAAGTATTTCTCTAATGAGATATTTCTCTATTGAATTTATGCTTTAAAATGAAAGTAAGTACTAATTAAAATTACTATTAGCATTTATATTGAGTTTATTAATGTTTTTTTTCAGGTTTCAATAGCTCATATTTTTAGCAAATCTAAAAAGCAAAGTGAGAAATACATATCACAGGGAAAACTGAGGATGTTACTAAAGGACATAAGTGAAATATTTCTCCAGTTTAACTCTTAAGAAAGTGAAAATTTATACACATACACAGGGAGAGACAAAGAAAGAGGAAGAGAAAAGTATATGTACTTATGTATACAGAGAAATATTTAAATGTTATGAATCTATCATTATATGTATGATGACTAAATATTAAAATTTATAAAGTTCCAATAAGAGGTCTTTGGGCAGAATAAAATAGAATGATAATAGTGTATCTTTACAATCTAAAAACTCTTAAATTTCAGCACATAATTAGACACTATATAATACATCGTCATTAATTGAAATATTCTATTTACTCAGTTATGCAGAGAACATTTGATATAGGTCATTTTTGCTCAATTTCAAAGAAAAATATTTTAAATTTAATTTATAATATCATTAAATACTATCAGAAAGTAATACTTAGCAAGGTTACATTGTGTTTAGCTCTCTGAGTCTGTGGCATGGTATAAGTATTGGCCGTGGGGCTGTGTCGTGTTCTGGATATATATGAATGCATATTTGGAAAAATTCCAATAACTTTATAAAATCTGAAATATTTATTTTTTATATATGTAGCACCACATTTAGCTCCTAACAAATTAACATTTAATTTAGCAGAATAACTTTTCCCGTAGAGGCAGCAAAATGTAAAAGTTTGAATTGAGCTTGATTTAGAGACTACAACACCCTTTCTTTGTAAGGATAAATATGTTCCCACAGCACTTCTATTTTGTTCTTTTGATTCTTTTTTTAACTTTTAAAAAAAAATTATTTGGCCGGGCTTTGGTGGCGCACGCCTTTAATCCCAGCACTCGGGAGGCAGAGACAGGCAGATCTCTGTGAGTTCGAGGCCAGCCTGGTCTACAAGAGCTAGTTCCAGGACAGGAACCAAAAAGCTACGGAGAAACCCTGTCTCGAAAAATCGAAAAAAAAAAATTATTTGTTTTACACCCCAACCTCAGTTTCCCCTCTTTCCTGTCCTTCAATGTCCTCCTCCCCCTTAATCCACTCCTCTTCTGTTTTTATTCAGAATGTAGTAGGCCTCCCATGAGTATCAGCAAAACATGACATATTAAGTCACAGTAAGACAAATCACGTAACCCCTTATTAAGGCGGGACAAGCAATCCATATGAGGAATAATTTACTCAAGAGTCAGCCAAAGCATTCGGGACAGCCTCTACTGCCATCGTTAGGAGTCCCACAGGGAGACCAAGCTACACAACTTCCACATATATGTATAGGGCCTAGGTTGGCCCCATGCAGACTCCCTAGTTGTTGGTTCAGATTCTGTGAGTTCCCATGAGCCAAGTTAGTTTTTTTTTTCCTCTGTGACTTTCATGTAATGTCCTTGACCACTCTGTCTCTTACAATGCTTCCTACCTTCAGTGGGATTCCCTGAGCTTTGCCAGTTATTTTACTGTGGGTCTCTGTTTCCATCATCTACTGGATGAAGGCTCTCTGATTACTATGTGATAGTCATCAATTTGATTGCATGATTTACAGGAAGTGGTCAGTTCAGGCTACTTATCCACTATAGCTAGGAGTCTTAGCTGAGGTCATCCTTCTAGATTCCAGGGTGTTTCCCTTGCACCAGGTTTCCACCTGATTTCAAAATGTCCCCCTTTCCACTCATCTCTTTTACTACTCTTCCTCTCCATCTACCATGAACTTGATCTCTCAAGTTCCCATGCCCACACTTCCCAAATCTAGGGAAGAGATGCCTGGTATCCTTTTCTCAGGAGATTTATGCATCCTGTCCTCTACTCCCAGGCCCTCCTTGTTACTTATCCCCTCTGGGTCAATGAATTTTAGTATGGTTTTCCTTTATATTACATCTAATATCCATTTGTGAATGAGTATATATCATGCTTGTCTTTCTGGGTCTGGGTTACCTTACATGGGATGATTTTTTTCTAGTTCTATCTGATTTTGTAAGATGGAAAAATATCTGAATTCCAAGTTTCCCAGTGGAAATTTCTAAAATATCTGTTAAAAATAAAATTTTCTAGAAATATTCCATAAATCTTAGAATGTTATAAATATTATATTCTCCTTCATATTAAAAGTTAAATATCTGAAGGATCACAAATAACAAATGATTTTTAGTGATTGATTAATTTCACAGCTTTTTGAGATGAATTATTTTTAAAGCATTCTAACAGAAAGTTAGATAAATGCTAGGCATGTTCTAAATTTACACACACAGTCACATACACTCTCACATACTCACACACAAACTCTCACACACACTCCCGTAAAGTATTATCCCATTCAATAATTACAAAACCTGCAATAACTATGTCATGAGAGCTCCGCAATGTTTTAATTTTATACAACAAAACATCAATCTAACATATATTGTTAGAGAAACCTAACAAAGAATATGTTTTTTTTCTTGGTTTGCATTTATGCTCCTAACTTTTTTGAGATTATTCATCCCATTAGAAAGCTTCTACCTATGTTTCAATATGACAAAATCAAGGGAAATATATTGCACATCAACTCAGTATCCACGTTTTTGATGTTGCTCATTCACTAACATTGTTTACAAACTCATTCTTTAGAATGTCTTAAATTTTCCATACCTACTCAACAGATATTTTAAAAAATTCTAGTAAGAAAGCATTATCCTGTTTATTTCTTTGTGTTTTTTTTTATTTTGGCAGTATTTTTTTTTTATTTTCTATATTGTTAGTTTGTGCAACCCAAATACATATGACTTAAAGGATTTTGTATCGATTTATCAAAACTTTTGCGGTAATTTATTATATGTAGAGAAAAAGTCTAGATACCAAATGAATGTTATTGCTATGACTGTGGTCATAACAATGCTACTTCAGTTAGCATTTTATTTTCAGCTTTCATGCCTGTGTGGATTTCCTTTTTTACAACAGGCTGCAGAAAATGTGAGCTGGCATTATTAGATGACTATGAAGGAGTCACTGTGGAAGCAATCTTACATGCCTGTTTCCAGATTCTATTCTTTCGGTCAACAAGGCAGGACTTGTGCTCTCAGTGTATCTTTTCTGTGTATAAAGAGGTCGTGACTCTCAACTTCTCAGCCACCATGACCACAGATTAAACTTGTCTCTGTTGGATTCTTATTGGTATCTAGTTCCTGTGCCTTTATGTGGTTGACTTTAGATGATACTCTTTTGGTTGGTAGTTTTTCCTGAGTAAACACAAATTCAAGCTACAGTGAGGAGTAGGAACTTTATGCCTCCATCCTCAAAGAGAACTCTTACATGGGAACTTTATTCGTTTTGTCGCAGTTGTCCCTGAGATTCATTTTTGCTTTATTAAATGTTTATCAAGATATGTTTAAAATTCTACCATGTATTCCTTTTGGCCAGAAGAAAATAATATTTATAAGTAATGTTATTCCTCCTTTTGAAAAAATGAATAACCACCAAAAATGATCTCTATCATTCTTGATATCATCCTAAATTGAAGTCAAAGATGAAATCATATATACACACAGAGAGAAAAAAATAATGAAACTCCAACAATAAGCATGTGTAGTCATTGCATGTACTTTAAAATTTTCTGGGTGATATACTTCAATAGTAGATTTCCTACTTCAAGAAAACATTCAATACTAATCAATATTTGTGATTTGCTCCCTAGTTGTTATTGGAAAAGGCCACTGCTTTTTACACATATTATAAAACATTTGATCATTATTGAATGTGTCATTATGCTCATTAAACTAAAGACTCATAATCAATTATACACAAATCAAGCTAAATTTTTATTTTGTATCCATTAAACTTGGTTTAAATATATTCATATGAAACTTGTATTTTGTATAATTTAGTTAGTATATGACTAAACAAAATAAAATTTATTATAAATGTGATTTTTATATTGAGATATAGAATTTTATAATGATTTTTAAATGTCTTTTGTTTTTTAATCATTTTAAATAAAAATTTATATAGTGAGAAAAAGGTATAAATCTATCCTTACCATTGAGGGAAAATCATAAGTTGCTAATTTAGATATCTTTAA